CCTACAACCCCCTTTGATCCAAGGGGCCTGATTCAATGGAGTTATGCCAATTGATACCCTCTGGGGACCTGGCCCCACATGCATAAAGACCAATGATTTTGTTTGAAAACCATTTAAGGACGGGAACCAGCAGAGATAAAAACAATCTCGAGATGAGCTTCTGTTCAGAGAGACATCGGAGAGTAACATCACCAGATTTCAAACAGGGTGTTGCGGAGCCAGGACATTTGCACGCTCCTTGATCTGGCCTTGCCAGTTGATTCTGTTAAAGGGAGTGAAATCTCTGATCAGGCCTCGTTCCCAAATGGGCCAAGTCTATCAAATATTCTGTTCAAAACAAGTGGAGAGGGGTGCTGAGATTATTTAAAATGCCTGGATTAGTCCGTCCTGTGCACGGGTGCTCCCCAGTTGGGGGTAGGTGCCCCTGCCTCCCAAGCACCCTGCAATGCCCAGCCACCCCCAAGGGGGCGCCCCAGCACAGGTCCCCGCTCCCAGCAGTGCTTACCTGGCTCTTGCCGGTCATGGATAAGGTGGCATGGCTGGAGAACCTGGCCAGCCTTGCGCCAGCCCCTGGAGAGTTGGGCCCCCCAGCTGCCCCGCACTCCGCAGCCCAGCTGTCCGGCAGCCCCGCCGACCTGCTGAGGGTTTCCACCTGCCTGGCCAAGCGCTCCACCTGCGCTCGCAGCCGCTGGTTCTCCTGCTGTAGCTCGGCGACGGTGCGGGCCAGCGGGCTGGCGAGGCGCAGCACCTCGTCCACCTGCCGGTCCACCCCTTGCTTGAAGACCTGGATGTCCACGTGGATCTCCCGCACGGCGCCCCGCAGCGTGTCCTCGTAGCGCCCCAGCGCCTCGCACACACTCTGCGCGTCCTGGCTGCTGAGGTCCGCGATGTCGCTGGCCACCGTGTCCATGTTGGGGGGGCTGGGGACTCTTGCCGGGCTCCGGGCAAACTCCCAGCCAGTGAGGCTGGGGGCTATGAACGCAGGACACCCCACTCCAAAGCCGGAGGGTCCTGGCACCGGTCCCTGAGATCTCCCTGACACAGTTTAGGAAGGCAGCAAGCCAGCCTCTGGTATCAGAAAGGTTGAGAAACACTGGGCTAAGAAAAGTCCCCAGTCCCTGCTGCAGGGCAACCTCCTGCCCGGGGCACTCGCACGCTCACTTCCCCTGGCTCCAGCTGGCTCTGTGCATTCTCCAGGCTTGGGGGGTGCCCTAGGGCAGGCGAGGCAGCTCCAGCCCGGCACCTCTGCCCAGAAAAGCAAAGGAGTGAGAGCGAAGCTGGCTGAGCAGCGGGGCTGGCTGTGTGTGTCTCTCTCCGGCTCCTCCAAGGAGGCGATGCAATTTCAGGAGGGGACAGTGCAAAGGGGTGGAGAGGGGGGCTGGCTTGTTCGCAGCTGCCAGAGGGCTGCTTGGCTCTGTCAACAGCTCTCGCAGGGGGACACAGGCGCTGGAGGAGCTGTGCAGCTGCAGGGGAGATGCTCTGGGGTGGGAGGAGGGGAAGGGACAAGAGGGGAGAGAGGCAGGCTGGGTGGGGAGGGAGGATCAGAAGGGAAAAGCTATGGGTGGGGCGAGAGCTGTGGGAGGAGGTGGCTAGGAATGAGTGGGAGCCAGGGGAGAGGACTGAGCAGGGGGTTGCATATCTGGTCTTTCCTGTGTTGCTTGGATGCTGCTGCCAAAGTAAACATTCCTTATCGCTCCCTGGGGGAGCCTGGAGGCAAAGGGAGAGGGGACTGGATTCGTGGGAGAGTAAAGATACACACACTCTCCCACACAACTTGTACACGGGCATGTACGTGGCGCTCACCTAGACCTGCTCCCACCCAGACACAGCTGCACACATGCTCCCCTCGCCACACGCCTACCAGTACACAACCAGGGAGAGACTTGGTGGGGCAGGCCACGCAGGGGTTTCCCAGAGATCCGGGGCTCTGGCAGAGGTAGGGGTGATCTACAGAGACACACACACTTCTGTATGTTTGCATTTATTTATGGTATTGACTCATTACCGAAGCTGGCCTTAACCTTCAACCCCCACTGATTTCTCTTTCCTCCTTGATTTGTGTTAACACCCCCTTTCCCTCTCCCTTCTCTCCCCTTTGTGGGAAGAAGGGGCCCAGTTCGCAGCTCTGAATCAACCCTACAAGCAAATGCCAACGGCCTATGAGACAATGGATGCTTTCTTGCCATAGGAAGGGGTCAGCGCTCAACAGTTGTCCCCTGACTGGCAGTAGCAGCTCTAAGACTGCGGAGTCCAGAATGGAGTCCAAACTCGGTGAAATACTGCCTCGATGTATGCCCAAGCGTGTAAATCAGGGCAGATCTGGGGCTATGCTGGGCCAAGTTATTTCCTGGGGTGACTCCTGCAAAGCCACTCCAGTTAGGAGCCAGCTTTTAAAATGGGCTCATTACAGCATTGCCATCTGTCAGGCTGAAAATTCTTTTTGTTTTTCTCCAAGCCCCCAGCTGCAGGAATTAGGATATTAGCTGGGACATCAGCTTTCATTTATTTAAAGTAAGTTTCTAGCCCTCGTGGTTGCAGAGAAAAGCTTGACAGTGTGACCGCTATATGCTCCAAATCAAAAGGCGGTAAATAAAAAGAATTCCCCATTCATTTTTAAAATCTCATGATTTTTCAGCCAGTTCTTGGGATTTTTTGAGGGGGAGGGAGTTGTCAGAATCTTTTTTTCTCATTGAAAATTGGGACTTTCAGTAAAAATAAAAAATACACTTCTGTCAGCCAAAACCGGAAAATAATTTTGGAGGTATTGGGTTTTCCAACAAAAAGTAAAAAAAAAAAAGGAAAGAAAACACCTTTTATGAAAAATGTCATTTAGTTGAAAGCTCAATTTTCAGTCAAAAAATAAACAACTTTTGATCGAAAATGTTCAACAAGCCTAAGCAGCACATATATGCTCCAAGAAAATCCACTTATTTTGGTGTGTCTGGCCCCTGACAAGTAAAGAATAATTACATCATAATGTTATTTATAAAACCACTTCTCTCCTTGTTCATGCATGTGGAATATTGCACAATACAGTAAATACAGCAATATGGAGGAAGGGCCTTCCTGATTTTGGAAGAAATCAAAATCCAGTCTCAAAGTCTCCTCTCTCGCTCTCTCAGGATGAGGGACACTTGCTGTTTGTTTCAGACATTTAAAATCATGTCCGGCCCTTTTTTTGTTTTTGTTTGAAATCTCCCTCTTCCAAGTCATCACAGCTGGATGCAGCCCTGGGAATGTAGCAGCCGCCACAATGAAAAAACCATCATGAAACAGATAATATAAAAAACAAACACAAGAACTAAATAAATAAATAAACCAAGGGGCAGTATTACCAGGGGGAAGAAGACCGACACACTCTGTCCAAAAGCTTCAAGGCTGTCTAAGGGATTTAGATGCCTGAATCCCATTGGGAACATTGTGTCCAAATCTCCTAGGCAGCTTGGAAAATCCTCTCTCAATCTGAGTTTTGTTCTTTCTGCCTGTGCCTCTTTTTTTAAATCATGCCTGAAAATAAGGTTTTTTTTAAAAATCTAATAATGTAGGTTGTCTTTTTGTGCCTGAGACAAAGCCTCCAAAGTCCATGGGAGTGAATCCACACACTCTTGTCCTTAGTTGTTTGTGCTCTACCTCTTAGGATCAAGCCAAACAGAGGCCTAGATTAGAGAGGAGCAAACAATACCCAAGAGCAGTAGTACCATGCCATCTTGTTAGAACAAAAACCACTTGGCTTGTTTCTTCTCTCCAAATGAGACACCTCTGGAAATCTGTCCAGTACAATGAAATCAACTTTTTTTCCCTGCCAGCATCAGACAGGTTTTCATCTACACTGGGCTTTTAACCAGGTTTTGGAACCATGGTGAAATACAGCTCCAGCCGAAATGGTTTCTAGCATGGTTTGGCTGACCAGCGTGGTTGGGGGCCAAACCATTTTAAAAGTGTGAGCTGTATTTAGAACCGGGCTTCTAATGAGAGTGTGGAAATTACTTTGCCCCATCCATGTTGGCCAAGCAAACCATACTCAAAATGGTTTAGTCAGAATTGTCTCGCCAGCCTTATGAAAAATACTGTGCTGATCCCAAACACCGCAGTTTACATGACCACAGTTATTTGGATTGTTTGGACTATTACTGTAGAATGTTGGTGTATTTTCCGTAAGGATTTTGCAGCATTTCTAAATCACCTAGCACTATAGTATCCAGGCATTAGTGTGATTCCAATACATGGTTTAAATACCCAGTGTAGCTGGAGATTTGGGCCTGGTCTGGGTCAAAGAGAGGTTCTGCTGTGAAAAATGACTCTGCAAATGGCATTGTGGGCCTTATTGCATCTCAGTGGGTTCCAGATCAAATGTGTTCAGCTTTCAGCTTACACGTGAAAAGATCTGTTTTTAATAACTGCCAGCCTGGGCTCTGAGAATCAGGTCATTCCATCTTGCACATCTTCAGTGGTGACAAAGGCCTGGCAAACCCAATTATGCCCTCACTGACATCAGGCCAAACCCATTGCCTTCAGTGGTCTCGCGAAGGAGTTCTTGACTGGAACCCACGGCCCAGTTCCATCCCTGCTGCGTGAAGTGAAATGTTACTAGTCTTTGTTTCTGGTAGCGCCCATGATGTGCTAGCGCTGTACAACCCTGCATCTGCACCTGGAAAGCGTACACAAAAATGGATCCGAATCTGCATCTCAACACTCCGTGGGACCAGGACCTCGATTTCTTTCTGTCGCTTCAGATTGTAGTGCTAATTGTGTGATAATATAGCCTGCAAAACTGCTTCTGTGCACTCCAAGAACCAGTGGATCAATGGTAAGGGGACTTACTCACATGCATGTGAAATTTTTAATTCAATTTTAATATTTTGGCAACTGTGGGGCACCTTTAGGGAGCCTGAAGTTTTCTTAGAACCCAATCCTGTAAAGCCTTAGTCAGATGACTCACCCTTATTCATGCAAGTAACATGCATGCAAATAATCCCATTGCAAATAGATCTGCTCCCATAAGGATTATTTGTCTGAGCATTGCAGGTTGCCTGAGCTTTTCCCTAATGTTTGACAGGAGAGTTCATCAGATTTAAATATATTTCCCCCCGATAATCTCTTTCATCAATAGATCCATATTGTATTTCAACTACTATTGCACCTTCAGAGCTGGACTATCATTTTTCAGTATAGAATGTAAACACTTCCACAAAGTTCGTAAGAATCCTGCTTAGATCCTTTTAAAAAAAAATCTGTCTCATTTGATTGGGAGACAGGAAAGAACACTATATTACCTAATCTAGTAAATGTTCCAACAGTTATTTCATGTTAAAGCTTAATGCCAAATTTTTTTTGTGTGCATGTGTTTTTGTAACAACCTATATAGCTATTTTGGCACATCTATGCTGACCCATAGCCATATTTTTTTTCCAGTGTTTGGAATCTTTGATATCAACAGTGCTAGCGAACAACAATGTTAGACAAAAATAGCCTTATTTGCAGCAATAAAGCTTTAAACATTTCTCCTTGAGGTTTGAGAGTGAAAATCTGGCACATCCCCTCAGCCATGAGATCATCCAAATTAAACTTAATCCAATCAATTAACTCCTACCCCTGTACATGCCGTCAGTAAATGTAAATCCAAATGCTATCAATTGACTTACATTCTTGGGTTATTTGCTAGCACGTATAGAGTATGATAAAATAACCTTTTATTCAATCAGCCGTGTAACATAGAGCTAAAACAAATATTAAGTCAGTGTTAGCTGGCAAGGAGAAATTCTGCAGTGATTCAGATGTTCCCTTTAACATTGAAATTTGAGTTTGGGATCCGTGGAAAGAAAAAAAGTTGATTGTTATGGGTTCTGGGTGCTCACTCTTTAGTTCCAGTTTTCATAATATTTGGATATTGTATTTGGCATTTTGGATACATATTTGATGAGGGCATAATTTGGTCAATATGCATTCATAGTGTACATTGCAATGTGCAGGGCAGGGTCAGCTGGGGGAAGAGATACATGAGGCAGAATACAATGCCCAGGCACAACAAAGTAGTTTTGGGGGCGGGGGGGGGAGGGATTTCAGACACCGGTGGATCCTTGTGTTTCTGGTCCTGGTCCTCAGCAGCATGTGTAAACTGATACAGTATAGATCCATCCAATCCAGTGGCCAATTACTCTGAGCATTATTGGAGTACACGTTGGACTTGATTCTGGCCTGACGCTTGTTTTATACCAGCCTAACTCCTGTGATTTCAACAGAGATATTCCTAATTTACTCTGGTGTAAGGGAGAGGAGAATCAGGCCTTTTCTTTTAAGGTAGCTTAATCTGATGCCCCTTACATGAGTTATTCCTGCTCAGGGGCTGGGAAACTCTGCAGGGTGGAACTTGCTTTCTGTTCTCCTCTCGGAAGCGCAGGGTGGGGGAATGGAAAAAACTCAGCGGCTGCGACTACTGGTTTGTTTTTATTGTGAACGAGGCAGCACAACAAAGGGTTAAAAAGGAGGCTCCCAGCCTTTGTCACAGATCTCCACGGGCTGCCGGTCTGTTTTCTCTCACAAGATTTACGTCAGTGTGTGCAGTGACATCATGCTCCTTATCTCCCTTGGAACAGGCCGCAGCGCCACAGCGGGCCTTCCTCCGCTCCTTCCTTTTCATCTCCGGAGTCAGCCTTTGCTGCTGTAGCCCCAGCATCTCTTCTGAGTAGGGTGACCAGATGTCCCGATTCCATAGGGACAGTCCCGATATTCGGGGATTTTTCTTATAGAGGTGCCTATTACCCCCCACACTCCGTCCTGATTTTTCATACTTGCTGTCTGGTCACCCTACTTCTGAGCAACGCTAGCAGTCGTGAGACTGCGTAAGGCCCTGATTCTGTAAGGGGCTCCAAGCAGGCAGACGCCAGCACACCCGCAGGGAGCTGCTTGCCGGATCAGGATCTAGATTTGTACCAAAAGTGCATATACAGTAGTAACTGGCTTGGATTGGGGAGGGTGGGGAGGAAGGGGAGATGTTTACTTGTCAGTTATATCCACCCAGTTAAAAGAGGTTGCATGACTTTAACTCAGGACATAATTTTGCCACAATTCTCTATCACAGTCTGGGCCAGATTCTGCACAGAGCTACAGTAGTGTCATTAACTCCGGAGTGACTCCCTTGACTTGCTCCAGGTTACTGCTGAGAAGAGAATATGGTCCTTGTCTCGTGTTACTAAGGTACTACACCTGTATCTGGCCATGGCTATTGTAACTCAAGACTAGTTGGGTTTAAAGTAGAAAGTAGGGACGTCTTGAGCACAGGACTCTGGGTTAGAACAAAGCCTGTCTCTGCTGCCCTGTTGCTGTGGGATCTTGGGAAAGTCATTTAAACCCCGTGCCTCAGTTTCCCCCTTTTAAACTGAGGTTAATGATACTGACTTGGCATTTAGTGGTATTGGGGGAATTCATTAGTTAGTGGGCCACGTCCTCAGCTGGTTTAAGTGGGCTCCACTGAAGTCAATGAAGCTACACTGATGTACCAACGGAGGCTCTGACCCAGGAAGAGTCACTTGGTTTGAGGCATTGCATTATCCAGCCCTGTAGGGGTTTAAGTACCCTTGACATTGGTTCTATAAGTGAGCACGGTACTGGAAGGATGACAGGTTATTTTGCAATTAGTTCACAAAGGCATCTTTTGTTGCTCCCAATATTGTTCAAATCTTAACATGATACATCTGGTCAATGTAATATAATCCAGCTACTCCATTGATTTCTTAAAACCCAAATATAGACTCGTTTTTTAAAATAGTTTGAGAGGGAGGGAGAGAGGAAGGAAGGGGTAGGGCTCTCCTAGTAATGGCATTACCATCTGTACTGAAGGATTCTTATGCAGCATTGTCCTGTCCTCTAACCTCCAAGTTCTTGCAAAACTTCCACATCAGCACAGTTGGTTTTCCCTACAAAATCCCAGAAAATGAGATTTGTAGGTCCATAATGATTTGAAGACAATATTTATAACGAGTGGAAAGACGCTTAGACAATGATTAGCCCAAGTTCCAGTCTCCTAGAAAACCCTAATTTTTGAGCTGAATATCAGGTCCAGTCTATACACAGTTTTGGTACTGATATAACTAAGTTTAGGAATGCGGGGTTTTTATTATTGAATTTTACCAATGTAGTTAAATTGCTATCATCCCTAATGGAGATGCAGTTATGTCACTATAAAGGTGCCTTCTACGGAGATAGTTTATTCCCTTTCCCATCTAGGAATGAGCTATATCTTTATACAGGGATAGCTGGGAGGGACTGTACCACTTTACTACACTGGTGGACAGTTAAAGCAGGACAGTTCATGAAAGTTTTGCTTCAAGATAGCTAAAACCAAGAATTCAGGGAGGTTCTGATTGTTTTCTCCCAAAATAATCATGCTAAGCTTTAGTCTCATTTACTCTCTAAGGCCACTTTACGCTGCTCTACTGTGCTGCAGTGTAAAGAGGCCTTAAAGAGTATGTCTTCTCTGCAGAGTTTGGGCCCCAGGGCTAGCTTAACCCAGATGTGAGTAGCCACACTGCAAAGCCCTACCCAAGTTACTGGGACCTTAGTGGTGTTGTGTTCACTCATGTGTTTCCCTAAGGCTTCTGGGGGCACGTCTGTCCCTTGGTTCTTAGCACTGCAGTGAGTTGAGCTGCTCTATGAGTCTGTCTCAGTGAGCTGTGGGAGAGCTTGTCTGTCTTTCTGGGCATGTGGGGGAATTGTGGGAAGGTGTTGGAGGACTGACTGTCAGCAGGGCTGGCGCAACCCATTAGGTGACCTAGGCGGTCGCCTAGGGCGCTACATTTTGGGGGGCGGCGACCGCGGCGGTATTTCAGCGGCGGGACCTTCCGCTGCCTCTGTGGGGGGCGGCATTTTGGGGCGGGACCTTCCGCCGCCTAGGGCGGCAGAAAAGCTGGCGGCGTTCCTGACTGTCAGCACTTCTGTGATTTAATTTATATCTTCATTGCAAAGTGGAAGGGTTACCAGCCCACGTGAAAGCAGAACCCAGACTCTAAACCAACCAGCAGGGCCAGCTAGCCAGGGTTAAAAGCACCATTTAGGTGAGAGGGTTTTGCGTGCAAATGGGAGAGTGGGGTTAGGGGCAAATAAGAGCCTGCATTAACTCTGCAGTGAAGACGTACCCAACCCGAGTGTAATTGTACTTACTGATCTCCTTACTACCATAGTGTCATCAGCGTAAAGGAGAATCCGGTCTACTGAGCATGGTGGCCTGAACCCAGGCTGGGAAGCTGAGTTCTAAGACTGACTCCGACAACATCTGTGATCTTGGGTGAGTCACCTGTCTTCTCTGTGTCAGCTTTCCCATGGCTAAATGTGGATAACGCCACCTGCCTACCAGTACTTCAGGGATGTTGCAAAGACTGAGGGACTGATCGTGCTCATGTGAAGAAATAGGTGTGTCGACACTGATCTCAAAATCAGGTTCTAATTGACTGTTTGCAAAGCACTTTGACTGACGCCCCAGTCTTTGGTCCCTTACGCATGTGAGTAGTCCTTACACAGGTACATGAGGTCTGAGTAAAGAATTATTTCTGTACATGCTGCAGGATTGGGTCAGAAAAGTGCCTGATCTAAAACTCAGCAAAGTCAATCCAAACACTCCCGTCAATTTCAGTGGGCTTTGGATCAGGCCCGGGAATGAGACATGGCGACTATAATGTCACTGCTGCCCCAACAACAGAAGCGGTGCCAGGCTATGCACACAGGAGATGGTATTTACAGTAGGTTGCCATGTACATAGAAAGTTTAAAGTTAGTTTGTCCCGCAGACAGACACATTCCACGAAGCCCCTGCAGCAAGCTGTCCTCTAAATAGAATATGTACAACAGGCCACACTGCAGTTGCCTTAATCCAGAAATGCTCGGCAGCCCTGTGAAATCTTCAGCCTTGTAAAATATATAAATATGTGATTTATGCCTCTGGTCCCATACTGGGAATTAGACTTGCAGGCTCTTTTCCCTCCCTCTTTCTTACAAACAAACCAACAAGAGACAACAGGTGATACAGATGGGGAGCACGAGGAAACAATGAGACATTAATATTGGTCAGTGGTCTAAGTGCACTAATTAATTAGTAAGAAGTTGTATCATGTGGGAATATGATTGTGAGGAGTCAGATGAGCTGAAGTGATGCTGACTATAATTATTGGTCAGTATAGCCCAGGGCAAACGATGTTCAATATTACATCAGCTAATCATGATTAAGCCTAGTCTACCCTGACCAGTGAGCTAACTCGATTCTTCAGGATGGTGTTTGAACAGGATACTGGTTTATAAAAACTCCCCTGGGTTTCAGTGGGGTAGGATTGGACCCAAGAGCAGCTGAGAGTGCTCACTTCGCAGGTCAGATCACTGATCAGAGACACCAGCAGGGGATATGTACATTCTCCCATTCCGGTGCCACCTGAGAGATGTGGTTTCCTCCAAACACTCAATATTCCTTATGCCCAGCTCTTCCAATTATTTCCAGTGCAAACAGAGCTACTTCCTTTTGGATCTGATTTGGTGGAATGTCCTGAATTCCTGCCAGCTGTGAAGATAGATATCTGCGTTGGCAGTTATCCTCTGCATTTCGGAGTGTCTTCAGATAGCTAAGAACACAGTCTGTTTCACAATTCCTGCAACGTGTATAGTACACGAGGTCAAAATGCTCCTCTTCAGAAAGCAGCCTCTACTATGAGTCACCCAACCCTGCCACTGTATAATTCGATCATGCTGGGATTCACTAAAGGGCAAAGGATAATGCTGTCACATCAGACATTTGAAACTAGAATGGACAAAGCACTAGAAAACAGACTGAAGGAAACTATCCTGCCCTGACACAGAGATGGGACTAAAAAATCTCTTAACTAAAAGGTCTTCAGTAGCATCTATGATTCTGCAGTTCATCATGCAAATCCCTTCTCTGGCTTCTTGAGACCCTCTGTTTTTGCTTTTAAGACTGTGTCCAGTTTAGTACGCCTCTTACATCTCTCCACTCTCATTTCTTACACAAGTATCCAGGCCCACACTGTCCACTGTTCTACGGTGATGCATTCTTCTTGCCCTCTGTGGAAGGCTTGAAAGTGTTTGCGGCTTACCCGACAATAACCTTTATTTATTATATCTGGGTGGTTCGCCAACCTCTGCAGGCAATTAGGAGGTCTGGCAGCTCATGGGGAAAACATGTTACCCCACAGGAAATGTTGAGCATTTCTGTGCTCCATGCTCATTTATTAGCATGTCAAACAGGAGATATGACCATTTGCAAAACTCTGAAGCAGATTGAGCTTGAAATGGTGTAGGATGTGACTGTTGGGCTTTTAACTTTTCTCTTTTGTCTTCCAACCTGTTCCTTCTCTAAGGCCTGATTTTCACTTGAAAGTTAGCTATAACCATGTCAGGTACGGGCATCATTTCTTACCAAAATAGTTATGTTGGTAAAAGCCCCAGTGTGGATGCAGTTATACCAGCTTAAAGATGCCTTTTGCTGATGTAGTTGTTCTCCTTCCCCGTTGGGAATAGCTGTGCTGGTATAAAACACCTCCTTTATACCGATATAACTGCAGCCACGCTAGGCGGCGCTGCACGATACTGGTATAATTAAAGCGGTACAGCTTTCCCGCGTAGCCAAGGCATGATTTCTTGTGCACGGTATTGTTAGTGGAACATGCTGTACGTGTTTGGTGGGTAGAGGACTCCCATCTCCAGAGCTGTCTGTCAGGCACCTTTCACCAGCACTAAATGCACTACCAAACAAGAAAGAAGCCTCCTATTTGGTAGAAACATAGAAATGTAGGGCTGGAAGGGACCTTGAGAGAGCATCTAATCCAGCCTCGGTACTGAGGCAGGACCTAGTAAGCCAAGACCATAATGAACGTCTTTGGAAACCCCCCAGAGTTTTCACCATCTGTTACTTACAGCAGATACGTCTGGTTCAAAGAGGTTTTGTACAAACAAATGTGCCACCTAACACACAAGCTCATCTAACTACAGAATCAGAGAGGGGCCTGAACCGAAGCCTCATTTCTGAACCTCCAAACTTTGGGGTACTCAATTTCAGGGTTTGGATCTGCTTGTGGTGGGTTGGGCCCAAACGAACGAATATCTCCACGGCTCAGTTTGGTTCCCTGAATGACCCCAGAGAGACCTAGTCTGAGTAAGAGCGTCAAGCTGCCTTTGTGGAATGGATTTTAATCAGATATTTCTACTGCAGGCCATTGTTAGGGATTTATCCAGGCCTACAGGCTATTAGTCAGATATTCCGTGATTTTTCTGCTGAGTCTTTCCTTGTTTTACGATAAAGGGCAAATCACCACCACTGCAGAAGAGATGATGACAGTCAACTACTGACAGTACCATGTTGCTCTGCACTCTACCACAGGTAGAGATTAATTATGAAAACAATGAGGTCACTGGCGTTGTCAGACTTGAAAGCTCTGCAGACGGTATCATTTATAATTAATAGGTGACTAACTCCTAGGCTTTTGTAAATACAGTATGTACTTTTGGGTGATATCATTTTGCCCTCCTGAGGTCTGCTCTTATCTTTTCCTGCCAGAACATTACATAGGCTAGCCAAGAATTATGAGAAGTATGATCCTTAGAATTTCTAGATAATGGTTTAGGTGCCAAAAAGTTCCCAGGTTATACAGAGAAACTCTTGCTTATTTTCAGTTTTGTTACATTTCTGGGGAGGGAAGCTCTAGAAAGAACGGGGGCCTGGATTCCCATTGCAACTCAGGCCTTTTTACAACGCTCTGGCAGTGTACAGAGGCCTTAAATTGCATTCACACCCACTCTAAGAGTCCATCAGAGCAGAGGAAAGGGACCACAGTGTAAATGAAAAGCAGGCCAAGTATGTCTTATTTCTTCTTGAATCACAACCTATTGGAGGAAGAAACAATAAAACAAATGTAGGACTACCGTACTGTAACCACTTCCAAGCGGACGTACAAGCCCCATGCTATTGTAACACATCCCTGAGACCTTCCAGCTCTCACTATACTGCACACCAGGGTTGCTTAGAACCATCATGGGGGAACAAAGGGAGAACTCCGATCCTCCACCTCAAAAAAGCAGAGGCCCCCTGCTAAGCTAAGCTAATGGAGAATCTCCAGGAGGGGTTAGCACTAGGGAAGTTATGAGATAAAGGTAAGCAGTTCAAATGTCAGCAAGCAGAAAGGACAATGGTGTATGGTTTTGGAAACAGTCGGGTTGCGATCACTATTTAATGCACCTAGAGGCCCCAACACAGGTGCCGTATACACACATAGTAGAAGACATTCCCTGCCCCCGAAAAGTGACAATCTATAGACAAGACAATCAAAGGCTGGGAGAAAAGAAATATTATTATCCCCATTTTATGGATGAGTTGAGGCCCAAAGCTGTTAAAGGGCAGGCTTTCAGACGTGCCCAAGGAGGTTACTGCACTTTGAGGCTCGCCCTCTGTCTGACATGCCAAAGGTCACACAGGATCTGTGCAAGAGCCAGGCACTGACTGCAGATCTCCTGAATCCCAGCCCAGTGCATTCTCATTGAACTGACCTTGTGAATTGGACAACATGTTGCACATGATAGATAGGAATGAGATGTAAACACCAGTTTGGGGTGAGGATCACCACCACTTCACTGCAATAACTTGGGATGTGGAGGGGCATCAGTGAGATCAGGATCTGACCCTAGGCTCCCAAATACAATTGCCCTTTAAAAAAAAAAAAAAAAA